TAATGCCAGTAATTGTGCTACTTGTTTTTAACCTAACTTTTCATCTGAGTTTGGTAACTTTTACACAGAAACACTTCCCTCTTTTTGAAAGCTTTCCACCAAAACCAGAATGATGCTTAAAACATCAGCAACTCATCTTCCTTCATCTCAGAAATCCCAAGCCTTTCCATAACTGAAGTAGTGAAGGAGCCAGGGACCACTGCAGTATGTGTCCTAAAACAGCTTAAGAATTATTTGGATGAAAATTGTGAAGCTTGAGCAGAATAAATACTTGTAGACTCTTGTAAATTTCCTGTGGTATTACTGGCTTGTCACATGGAGCTGTGTACTAAATAAAATCAATAATTTGGTCCTAACTTCTGCTGCATGAAGCTGCTCTGTTGTCTTGTCACAGCTACGGCCCTGTTTTCTCTTCTAATTTGTTGTGCTTGCTCATTGAAATTGAATCCCACAAGTCTTGGAGAAGTTGTTTTCCTCAGTGCAGATGGCTCTTTTCCTCCAGACGTGACCGGCAGCTAAGAGCTGCCTTTCTTTTTTAACCCTTCTGCCCATCTTGAAATCATGCTGAGGTTATGGCCACAGTAGTACCATGGCTCTTGCCCTGGGTCTGATTTTCCTGTGTATAGGTTGTCATGCATGTCAGTCACAGCATGTGCCCCACAGGCTCCTGTTACCTAATGTAGGTTGCTTTGGTTTGTTGGGTTTGGGTTTTTTGTCTGTTTTAACAAGGGCAAAGTAAAAATCAAGAGCTTTAGTGGCCCCTGGGATGTGTCCCTGCTGGAAGCTCTCATGGCGAGTAGTCTCTGGCAGGGGTGCAGCCCTTTGTGCTTGTTCCTGCAAAATGTTCAAGCCTCACATCTTCAGCCCAGAGAAGCAAAGGAGAACCTACCCTTGCCATTTCCCTTCACCCTGCTTGTTTCACTTGGGAACACAATGAGCTGTCAAAATTTCCTGCCCTGTTTCCACAGAATCCTTCCTTTCACTCCAAAAAGGATTATTTATCTAAAACTGCTAATTGCCTAAATTGTCAGAACAATTGTTCAGCTTAATTTTAAGGTGGAGAGCGAGGAGATGTAAAGGTCTGGTGGACTGATCAAGGTTGCCCTCAAAGTCCTCTGTCAAACCAAAAAAGAAAGCCTGGTATGTTGCGTGAACAGCCTTTGCCTTTTGGAAATTAAAGGTCATGTGATACGGTGTACATCTGGTGTGATCCCTATATTTAGTATCTTTGTTGAATGTACTTAGAGGTAATTAAAAGTAATAGGGAAGAATATAAATGTTCTCCAAGTAAAAGCCAGGAAAGCATGGAGGGCAGGTGTGGTTGATTTAGCCCACCACTACTTCCTAACTAATCTTTTTCTAATGATGTAGAAAGAGACTAGGTGGCACCTGGCGAAGGATTTTGAAATAACAGATTCATGAGGTAGAGCTACTTGATAACATCTTTGACTCATCAGAAACTTGCCTTCCCTGAGGGTAAAATTAATAATCCTTGAATATAAGGATTTTAGAGGCTTTTACCTAGGCAGTAGGGATGCAGATTTATTGTGCATATAGTTTCTCATAGTGATAAAGACAGCCCAGAATGTTATTATCTGTAAAAAAAGTGAAATAACACAAATAGTCAGTCAGAATCATCAGTAATTTTACATGACATCAAGTCCTTGGTTTTGCTGGTTTAGTAAAACTCAGTCACATTTTCTTAGTTTGAAGAACATAGCTGGTAGCAAATTTAGCAATTGTCGTGTATAGTCCTTAACTATTTTAGTCCCTTTTTCTGTGTGTATAAAACCTATCCCATCAGCTGCTTCAACTGTTTTTATCTCCTCCTTTGGATTCATATTCTTCTCATCACCTAAATGGTTCTTTTCCCATTCTGCTCCTTATCAATGGTGGGCATTACTCCAGGTTGATTTTCCTTCTATGAAGTGGCTCTTAGTACCCTGATCATCTTCCTAGAGGTCTTTCTTTTCATTTTTTCCAGGAGGAGTTCAGCTTTCTCAGAGGCAGTATTTCAGCTGAACTTACCCCAAGTGCTTTGACTAATGGCATCAATTCCTCCCTTACTTTCCCTCTGGAATTACTTTACCTGAATAATGTACATACCTGTCCAAGTTAGCTAGTCTTTAGTTCTGTAGGAGACAGCAGCAGCACCACGAGAGGAAGCTAGACTACCAGTAAAATCAAAGTGGAAGCTGCACATAGCCACACATAGCTGCACTGTCCATAGAGCAGTCGAGGCAGAGAAGGGGATAGCAGCAGTGAACTTCATTTAAAATAGCTGTAGCTGCATATACCTGGTATCTCCAGCTTTGTCTCACTTGTGCTCTCCTAATTCTGCGTCAAGGTCATCAATAAAAATTTAAGATCATTCCCAGTACCAGTCTTCTAAAGATCATGCAGTAACTGTTACCAAGCAAGGTTTCCTTTCAATGTACCACATTATATTCTTACAGTCTTTTCCCACTTCAGTTTTTGTGCTTATCTCTTGCCTTATATGTTTAATAAAGCCCTTATGATTGAAATGCACTACACTGGTGATTTTTTTGCTGTTGTCTAATCATTAGCTACTTTATTCGAGGTAAGTAAGTATCAAGTTTTATCTGCATGGTCTACTTTTGGGAAGCTCATAGTGACATTTCCTCTCTGTTGCAGTTGTCTACTTATCCTTAGCGTTTTCTTCCTCAAAATTTGGAGTCATGCTATTAGGATCAGAGTTGGGCATTACCTTTACATGTAACTTTGTATGATTTTGTTGTTCTGTAGTACTATGGTACTTTCCTTGATCTGATAGATACATTATTTCATGTCCAGGAAGAAAATCAATCTTTCCTGGTTTACAGTATCTTACATCTTGTGGGGAGGGGTGGGGTGTGTGTGTGTCTCAGATTTTTGGGAGTTTGAATTTCTCTCTTTTTTGTGAAGGATCTGTTGATTTAGTCATGAGTGACACGTTGATCAGTGGGATTACTTGCAAGGGATTACTTGCAGTTTCATGTTAATTCATTGGTGCATGCAGAAAAACAAAAGCCTTGATCAAAGCATGCTCTTGAATTTACACCCATTCTTAATTTGCTGATGCTTGTATTAGTGACAGGCTCAAGCCTGTCTGATTTTTTGGAGTTTATATAACACGTACTGTATGCTTGCCTTTCTCACTCTTTCTGCACGAGTCAGCCAATCAGATGGTCTACCTGTGGCAGAGAGCAATGCTCTTAAGTCCAGGTGCTGCCTTATGAGCTCTGACTCATGGGTGCTGATGAACCTTGCTTCAGTGTTTTACAAACTCTCCAGCTATTTGCTCCACCCTTCTGCCCTTCAGCAGAAGGAGCACAGGGGAATAGGTGTATATACCACCATTGCCACAAGTTGCACATGATTTTAAGCTGCTGATGAAGGCAGACCCATGCTATTACCATACCTTTGAACTGCAACAGCTGAAGAACAGGCAGAGGTTTGCACTTCCTGCCCCTGCTATCAGGAGGGGTAAGTGGGGTCAACAGCAGCTTGAGTCCTTTTGGCTGGTTTCTTAGAGTGAGGAGTTACCAAGCAGGAGCAGAGTAGAGTAAACACGTGTTCAAAGTAACAAAGCGAAAGTAAGGATGAGAGAAAATAGATTGATATTTATAATCAAAAGTGACAGTGTTTGAAATATTCTTAATTGGAGTGCATGCTTCTGTGTCTTTTGTACCTCTAAGGACCCCTAGAGGGCACGGAAGTTTTTCTCCACCTCAAATATTTAACTTAATAGTTCTACTTGGCTTTCTTCCCTTAAACATAATTGTAAGCACATTTTAAGTGAACGTTAGATAGAAAAAAAAGAACAGCATCTAACTAGGTCCTTCTTTTGCACTGCAAGATGTTTTCTTGTTTTTAAACACAAGCAGCAAGAGTTAGCACTAGCAGCCAAATTCTTAAATAATCTTTGTTTAGATTAGTCAGATGCTATATTCATATCCCAGAGGAAGCACAACTGAAGCTAACTAATAATTCGTAATTTTATTGCAAATTTTGAGAGTCCTACAGTGTGAGCTGTCTGAGGAAGTGCAGTGGGTATGCTTTCAACACTATGGGCCGTGTCTCTGTAGAGGAGGAACTGGTATTGTGAAGAACCTAGAGTACCCTAATCTGAACCTATAAAATCTTATTTAAGAAATTTTAATATTTATTTTTGTTATTTGCCTGTAAAGAAACTATTACATTATAGTACAAGATATTTAAGGTTATGGAAATACAAAAATTACATCTGCTTCCCACTACTTATCTACTTGGAAAGAGGTTTTTTAACTCTTACTATCCTGAGTAGCATTTTCTGAAACAAGTTTTGCCTATGTCATCAATATTACACGTTAATTTGGGAAATAATCAGTGTGAATTACACAGTGATATTCTTAGTATTATGTTGTTCTTTTATCATATCCTAAAGCACTGGAGTAATGCTTATCTGAGAACATCAAGTTTCACTTACATAAAGAAGCTTTGGTGTTTGAGACGACTGATGTTTTCCAGAGTGTTCGAAGAGCAGAAAGTAAAACAAACAGTCAAACAAACACAAACAAAACGCCACCTTAAAAAAAATTCATATTTTCTTTTTTATTTTTTTCATCAACTCATGATTTTGAGACCAGCCCCACAGCTTTGGAAGTCAGTTGTTCAGTGAGCCTTTTGTGAGTAATGCCATGACAGTCAGAATCCAACTGGTCTTGTTTGGGCGAAAAACCAGACCTCTGTGCTACTCCTGCTTGTCTACTTACTGGGCAAGAAGCTGTGAAATGAGATAAAAGTGGGGAGGGGTGTTGTGCTTTTGTTCTGATAAGAGGATCAACTATACTGCTTTACCCAGTTACTGAGGGATGTCATGGGAGATGATTTTTTGCACCTTAGTTTTCCCACTGGAGGAGCATAACGTCATCACTTTGAACAGAAAATAGATCTAGATCTAAACAGCAGAGAAAGGCAGCTGCTCCTTCTAACGTCTCTGGGGATTTTGTGTTTTGCAGGAGATGCACGGGTGAGAGGTCAGACAGGGGTTCTCTCAGAGCGCCGTGGCTCCTACCCGTTTATAGACTTCCGTCTTCTTAACAGTAAGTGCAACCCTTCCTTCAGCTCTGTATTAAAAATAAAGTAAAATAAATCTATTGAAAGTATATGAACCAAAGTATCTCGTCTCATAAATATCTGTAGTTCAGCTGTCTTCACATAGTCAGCATTAATAATTCTGTTATTCCCACTCAGTGTTTGACTGTGAAATGTTCTGATTGTATGGACACTGTCCATAATGCTGAGTCTGTCAAGTAAATACAGTGGTGCCATGGGGTTTGCTGGGGGAACAGGGGGTGCTTCAGAATTAAAAAGATAAATCTCTGTGTCCCTTAGCCTCTAAGCCAACAGTTGGAACAGATTTATGTGAGTCTGTTATCCGGTCATATAGAATTGGCACAGAAGGGAAGCATGTGACAGCACTGACCAGTGGTTTACAATAACATTAATTTTTCCAACAATTAGAACCCAATCCAAAGCCCCATGGAGTCTTCTCATTGACGTCAATGGATTTTGGGTCAGGCCAGCAGTGAACATCTGTTAAAAATAATCTTAACCTCAATTTGATTGAAGTTATTTTGCCACTGTTGTAAATAAAGGAGGGCAAATATAAAAGGGAAAAAAAAAATCAGGATCCTGTTGTTTGGGGTTGTTTTCACCTGATAGGTTTTTTATACTGATGCAGAGCCTTAAGCCGGTGTTTAAACAATAAAAGAAAAACCAGAGAACACTTAGACTTGGGCCCCGTCGTATTCAGTGTGGATGCTGTGTTAACTTCAGTGTTCAGACACAGGGAGCTGTCAGTGTGTCCTTGTGTACTTCACAAACTACTTCCTGTAACATTTGAAACAAAATTTATTCACAGTCTTCACCAAAACAGACTGAAGGTCTGACAGTTTGTTTAGTGATGACACTTTTAAGCTTCTAGTGATTATGCTTTTCATTAAGAAGCAATTGTCAAGGCAAAGTTTTATGTCTCCCGTTTGTGACTGCTTGTAACTTGCCTGAGCGCCTGAGGAAGGAGAAAGGAGGTATCTGGCAGGGAGGAAGGAAGAAGCCCAGCTGCAGAGGGCTGGGAGTCAGGAGAAAAGATGTGCTTATATGGAGGGGAGGTCTTGGGATCTGACAAAGGGAATAACATACTGGTTTGAGCAGAGCTCTAATTTAGTCCTGGCTTGCAATGAAAAATTTGGAAAAAAACCCACCTGGTTTAGGCTAGTTGGAAATATTACTGTTGATGCCCTTATAAAGACTGAGAGAAAATAAATCACTTCTTTTCAGTCATGAAGTAGAAGTGAATATATATTCACATTTAAGTGTGACTAATAATTACCTCTTTATCTTGAATACATACACAATACTTAACAATTCTCATCGTATGTTCATCCCTCTTGCTGGTTAAAGAAACCGAAAACTTCTCACATCTTTTTTCTGGCAATAGGGCTTTCACTTTTACCCCCTACATAAATCCTGCTAGCTTCTGGGAAGTGCTGGTGCTGTCAGTGGGCTCTCTAGGGAGAGATCCATGGGAAGGAACATACTGTGAATGCTCAGACTTTGATCATACAAGGAGCGGGGCACTCCTCATAACCCATCTCCTGTAACTGCTGAACTTAAAAGTGATGCCTCCCACAGCATGTGTGTCTGACCCCATGGATGTGAAGCGCCCTGGAGAACTCCGGCATTCTTTCTTTTTACTGCTTTTCTGTATTCTGAAGGAAGTCCCTATGGCTTATCGTGATCTCTGTGTAAGGAAAAGCAGTGATTTGGATTTTGGATTTCCCATTTTTTTTTACGGTTTTGTGTATTTACTGCTTTCTGGCTAGGGAGTGGTATAGGCTTCATTTTTTTAGTGCAAACTGAAGTGAGATTTCTAGGCATTTAACTGCTAATTTTGTAGATGGCAAGTGCACTGGGCCTGGCTCATTCGGTAAATGAAGTTGCTGTGTGTCAGAACACAGAGATATGTGTTTTTCCAATAAGTAGACAGAGGTATGTAAACAAATAATATAAAAGTCTGTCAAATTGTTTCTGTTGTACATACCACATAAGCAGCAAAAAACCATAGTGCTGCACATCCTCTTAAAAAGAAGCATATTAAATGTCACCACTGCACACTTTTTTGGATAGTGCATAACTAACACTTGCAGTAATTTTTTGGCACCATGCTGTATTTGTTTGGGGCGATAGCTGACAGGCAGCAACTGCATACTGAAAGCTGTTACAGTAAGGGATGGATGAGGCAGAGAATATTTTATGGTAAATATCCTCAAGTTATAAAGAAATGCAGCATAAACATTACTCCACTTCTCACTAATTCACAAAATCTGAGCTTAAATAGTGATTGTTCCTTATTCCAAGTAACAGTACCACCCTTGTTTTAAAGTAAGGGAAAACACTGAAGCTCATTCTTTTAACAGAGTTGACATTCATTTTGAAAATTGACATTTAAAAAAAATCAGGACATTGCTATTTAATGTCAGACTAAAGGTTACTTCAGTGTAACCTTTTTAACTTAGTTATAGACTGGTGGATTTCAGTCAAACTGGTGAATTCTTACCTACTTTGGCTATTAAGGGTTAACACTGAGTAGACCATATCTTTTGTTTTTTCTGGAGTCCTGCAGTAAAGTCACTATGTAACTTAAGACACCCTTAAGTCTTTTTGGATAGGAAAACTTCCTGCGCTCTGAAAATGGGATCTTCTGTAGCTCTAATCAAAGCCAACTGGATTAATGTTGGCTTCTTGCTGTTTGAGCTAACGTCTGTGATGCCATTTACATATTCCTCTGCTGCCTTTCTGCAATATATAGGAAATTAGTGAGTGTTATTTCACCTTGTCAATGCCAGTCTGTCAGGGCAGTGAGGATTTTGCAGGATCCTGCCTGGAGGAGATGCAAGGCTTTAGCATCTTCTTCTTTTCTCTGCCCAGTTGTAAACTTTCCTAGAGGCATAGTTGCAGTGATGGTTTTTGGGACTCTAAAGATGACTCTGGAATACAAAACTGAATGCAAAATATCTCTGTGTCACCAAGAACTCCTCAGTTCTGCGTTACAAGGAATATATTTACCTTAGCCTCTTGAGTCAGTCCCTGCAACTTGTGGAGACCTGCGTGACCAACCAGATATTTGTGGTGATGGTTTTGAGCCACGAGCTTGAGGGAAAGCTATGGAGCAGCTTCTCTCCCCAGGGAAGCTTCAGTAGCTGATGTTTGTTAGCCAACCTGGTGTGAAGACCTTGCAGGAGGCAAGCCAACCATCTCTTTTTCCATCTGTCATAGTAAGACAGGGGACCCCCTGATGGCCACAGATATACCCCAGGAAAGAAAAACCAAAAAGCTGGACATGGCAGATGTGAGGCTCCATGTTCACTAGGGTGCTTACAGACGAATATTCAGACTTTACAAACTCCTAAAGTAGAAGATACAAGTTTTGCAGAGCCCTGTATGTTTATAGGAAAATGGGGAGCAGGCTTTGTCTTCATACAGATAACACATTCCTCAAAATGGGAGCAGTAGAAGAAATGAAGGTTTAGTGTTCAGAACCTACTTTCTACAAGGAGTAGTGGGATGTAATAGACAAGTGTTAGGTGCCATGAAGTTGGTGAGTACAGTCTCTAAACAATGCAAGATTAATTCCAAACCAAACATCACAAATTTTAGGAAAGTTTGACTCTGAACTCGGGAGCTTGTAACTGTACCCAAAGCAGGTTGAAATTAGTGATGGCAGTTTGTTGGCACTTTTGCATTTCTGTGAATTAAATGAGCCTTTTTGTGTTCACAGGACTGAAAAGGACTTACATTGAATATTTGCAGGGTAATAATTAAGCATTTGAGACACTTCTGCAGTGAAAATTAACTTGATCCAATTTTCCTTTTAGCAAAGCATAGTTTGGGTTTGAGAAATAAAGGACCGTAGGCAGCAGTAATTTAGTTCTCTGATTGACAGAGTTGCTCAGTGAGTCATTGAACCAGATCCCACCAGTGACTAACACGCATTTATTAAAATACTATCTCATGATGAGTTCTGCTGGTGACTGTTACAGTATGTTTCTTCATTGCATCAACCAGAAGTTTGAGGGAATTCCTTGCGATAAATCTAGAATTGTAGGTGAGCATACAGCTGTAACCAAGAAGACCTCACCCTGCTCCAGTTATGTTAGATGCTTTGTTGTATTGCCAGGTGAAATTAAGTAGGGTAACAAAGTAACATAATTCATATCTGGGATGAGTAATTTTTTATTTACAAATTTACTTGTCAAGCTTTAATTCAGAAGACAAGGAGATTCTTAAGACTTCAACAGAGTTTCTCTAGTTCCCGTCTTGTTTACATTAAGCTTCTCTCTGGATTGAATTTTTGCATGCAAATTACAAAGTTATTAGTCTCTAATTGACTGTATTTAATTTTTTCTTCTGTGGAGTAATATAATTAAAATCTTTTTACTTGCATTTTTAACTTTTCAGAAAAATCCCTCAGTAGGGGCACTTTGATTTTGTCACAGTATTAGTCATATGATTGCTTTCATTATCTTGTACCCACTTGTTTTCAGTATGCCATCCACTTTAGACCAAAATCTGATAGAATTCACTTCTCTGTATATTGATGCAGGAGGGATAACAAGGAAAGGGAAAGGATGTAGTATGTGACCTGCAAAATGGAGTCTTTCTACCAAAATGGAGTTTCCCAAGGAGATTTTTGTTTCCTTACACCTTCCACAACAGGAACATACAGTGGGATATGAAAATATCTAAAAGGTCAAAACATATCTGTAAACACTAGAAAGGCAATCTGTTTATTACACAGGAACCTGATATTGTTATGCAGGCAGAAATTGAGTCCAAAACAACATCACCTGCTTTAAGGTAAGATTAGTAAATTCAGTTAATATAGGTGATATACATTTAGTACCAGATAGTGATAAACAATGATATTAGGTACCATTTAGTCTCTGTCCTTGATTTGTTGTCTGAGTTGAGCAAAATAGTCTGGTTTTCAGTTTGCTTGCAAATAAAGTGATGCTTAGCAGGCGTATGATGAATAAGGTAC